CGTGCCTGTAATCCCAGCTACTCAGGAGGCTGAGGCAGGAGAATTGCCTGAACCTACAAGGCGGAGGTTGCGGTGAGCCAAGATTGCACCATTGCACTCCAGCCTGGGTAACAAGAGTGAAACTCTGTCTCAAAAAAAAATAATAATAATAATAATAATAATAATTCAACCTGAGAAAGCTGATAAGGAAAACAAAACCTTTAAAAATCTGCATTCGGCTGACAGTCACAACCTCTGAGCAGTCTTATAATATTAATCATTATTATTTTGTCCATTTTTTAATGTGGGTTTTAGTTAAATGTCGTAATAGATAAGATATGATTGGAGTTGCCAGATAGCAGGCATGCTAACACTTCTGTTTGGTTATTTTTCAGGGTACAGCTCGCAGAAAGAAGAAGGTGGTACATAGAACAGCTACAGCTGATGACAAAAAGCTTCAGAGTTCTCTAAAAAAACTGGCTGTGAATAATATAGCTGGTATTGAAGAGGTATGATCACTTTGCAAGTTGTTGAATTATGTGGGTACATGCACAAAGAATTGCCTAGACCTTTCAGATGTAAAATATTAGTTTAGAAGAATCTTTGATACTGTCATTGATGTCTTTGGAGGATTGTGGCACTTTGATTTTTCTATGAAATTAAATGATGGCCAAAAAATAATTTTAGTAGACAGTTAAGGACTTTCATCTTTTCAGGCTCAATATATTTGCATATATGACAAAATTTTATAACTGCTCTTGAATATTAATATGATATATGTCTCTAATAATATGGAAATAAACCCCAACATTTCTTCAAATGAGACAGACTTTTTTTATTATTTAAGTTTTTGGACTTGTGCCTCAATAGAGGTACATTTTACCCTAATGCACCTTTATATTCTACAGAGCCTCATGTTTACATCAGCCAAAAGGCTGTAGCAATAGCTTTCCATGGGTTAGATTTCTTATTAAAACTGTTTCAAAAATTATTGTGTAAAATGTGTAAGTCAGCCGGGCACAGTGGCACATGCCTGTAATCCCAGCACTTTGGGAGGCTGAGGCGGGTGGATCACCTGAGGTCAGGAGTTCAAGACCAGCCTAGCCAACATGGTAAAACCCTATCTCTACTAAAAATGCAAAAATTAGCCAGGTATGGTGGCACATGCCTATAATCCCAACTACTCAGGAGGCTGAGGCAAGAGAATCACTTGGACCCAGGAGGTGGAGGTTGCAGTGAGCCAATTTGCGCCATTGCACTCCAGCCTGGGTGACAGAATGAGACTCGGTCTCAAAAAAAAAAACCAATTGTAAGTCGGTTTATTGTATTTTTATGACACAGTTTTTCTCAAATATAAAACCAAAGATTGATGTTATTCCAAAAGATATTTGATAAATAACAGCACCAACTACTTGTGATGTTACCACCTAGATTCATCTCTGCCTAATGATTCCATTTGTTTTTTTTGTTTGTTTTTTAAGACATAGTCTCACTCTATTGCCCAAGCTGGAGTACAGCGGCATGATCTCCGCTCACTGCAACCTCTGTCTACTGGGCTCAAGCGATTCTCCTTCCTCAGTCTCCTGAGTAGCTGGGATTACAGGTGCCCACAATCATACCCAGCTAATTTTTTTTTTGTATTTTTAGTAGAGACAGTGTTTCATCATGTTGGCCAGGCTGGTCTTGAACTCCTGACCTCAAGTGATCCACCCGCCTTGGCCTCCCAAAGTGCTGAGATTACAGGTGTGAGCCACTGTGCCTGGCCAATTCCATTTGTGATAGTAACTAGAGTTTACATTTTCACTGCCATAATTTAAATTTCATCATATAATTACTGTGTGTGGTATCACCTCACAGTTTTAAATAATAATTAGTGTGCATGTGCTATAAAACATGTATCAGAAATAATGTGGAGGTAGGGGCCGGGTGCAGTGGCTCACACCTGTAATCCCAGCACGTTGAGACGCCAAAGCAGGTGGATCTTCTAGGGTCAGGAGTTTGAGACCAGCCTGGCCAACATGGTGAGACCCCATCTCTACTAAAATTACAAAAATTAGCCAGACGTGGTGGCACGTGCCTGTAATCCCAGCTATTTGGGAGGCTGAGGCAGGAGAATTGCTTGAACCCAGGAGGCAGAGGTTGCAGTAAGCAGAGATCACATGGGACTCTGTCTCAAAAAAAAAAAAAGAAAAAAGAAATAATGTGGAGGTAGGGGTGGGGATCATTAATAAAGAAATAGCAGAGTTAAATGGCAAAGAAGAGGTAGTAGAATGGCACGGTGCCGCATGTTCCTTCCACCTTCCATATATGAATGAATAAAATTAACACATCGTTTAAATCTGCTTTGTGCGTTGAAAATGAGTGTACTGATAAAATAGTAGAAAATATAAGCCAGATGCGTCTTTTTCCTTTCAGCTTGATGTGACTGTACCTTCTTACTCTGAGATACAGATTAGAGCTTCATTTGTAAGACCTGAAATTATATTTATACATTTTTTTTTCTGAGTTATTGAAAACTTTTATATATTTTCATGGACCTGAAATGTTTTTAGAGAGACCATTCTCTTAATTGTAGATTAATATTACGAAAAAAATCTAAATCCCTTCAAACCTCTTTTTAAAAATCTAAAACGTGGTAAAAATGAATAAGTTGCAGTAATACACATGAGTTCTGATAATATTAAACCTAACTTACTTGTAAATGTTAATGCAGTTTTATATCTTTGCCTACCCTTCTACCCTTCAATTCCTCTGCCCCCCAACCTCACCAGTATTGACATTTTGAACTAGAAAATTCGTTGCTGTGAAAGCTGTCCCGTGCTTTATAGGATATTTAGCAACATACCTGGCCTTCACTCACTACATGCCAGTAACACTCCTACACACCTATTTGTGACAATCAAAAATATCTCTAGATATTGCCATATGTACCTTGCAGGCAAAAGCACCCTTAGTTGAGAAACACTTCTTTAGAGAAGAAAAAAAATTATACCTTTCTTGCGGTATAGATTTAAGTGTGTGACATCTCCAAGGACATGTTTTTCTAAACTTTTTGTTCAGATTTAGAAGACTTTATGACTCTCATTATTAGTAAAACTTTTAGTATAGGGGCAGCATTAATTTTATAAATGTTTTACATTGAAATAAGGAACCAGTTAGTAATTTTTGATCTCTTCAGAATATAATCAAACATATAATACTGTGCTGAGGGCATGGTGCTGCTGTAATTGAAATCATAACAAAGTACTTAATGATAGTCAACATTTATTAACAACAGTGTGCCAAGCATTTTGCCAAGGATTTACTAGACAATGGTATAAGATATTTTGCATGGCCTCTGTCTTTTGTAGCTTACGATCTGGTGGGGATACTAATTAGACAAGTCGACAAATCAATATATATTATATCCCATTTCAGCTTCACAAATATCCCTTTTAGTTGGTTTTCATTGGTTACAGATGAGAGAGCTGAGGCTTAGAGAATTGGGTGCCTACCTAAGATCACGTAGCCTAGTAAGTGCTAGAATTCCAGGTTTCAACTAAGGTGTGTCAAAACCAGAGTTTATACTATTCATTCATTTATCCTGCATTTGCTCTTTTCATTTATACTTGATTATACTCATTCTTGACCTTTTCATTTCCTCCCATCCCGCCTCCCTCACCAAAAAAAAGGGAAAGTAATAAGAGATTTACCTCCCTAATATCCTTATATAGGTACTGAGCACCTACCGTGCAGAATTTTTTATTTACACCATTATAGAAAAGAAATCCCTGTCAGTATTTCCAAGCACATTGCTGTTTCTCCTTTTTTCCAAGTCTTAATATAGGCATTATTTCCTCCCAGAAGCCTTCCTGGTAGCACCTGTACAGCATTTGTGCTGAAAAGGGTTAGGTGCCTTTCCTGTGTGCCCCCACAATGCTCTGTATCTACTTTTTACTATGGCACTTATTGTGAATTCTTTTTTGTTAAAATTGCCACAGCAATTCTTTTTTTTTTTTTTTGAGACAGAGTCTCACTCTGTTGCCCAGGCTAGAGTGCTGTGGCACAATCTCAGCCGACTACAACCTCTGCCTCCTGGGTTCAAGTGATTCTCCTGCCTCAGCCTCCCAAGTAGCTGAGATTACAAGTGCACACCACCATGCCTGGCTAATTTTTGTGTTTTTAGTAGAGATGGGGTTTCACCATGTTGGTCAGGTGAGTTTCAAACTCCTGACTTCGTGATCTGCGCACCTTGGCTCCCAAAGGAATTACAGGCGTGAGCCACTGCGCCCAGCCTGCCACTGCAATTCTAACTTTTTGAGGAATTATGCACCCCAAAACATGACACAGAGAATTAATGCTCATAATAGATATGTGGCATGTGTATACACCGTAGCAGCTTCTCCGCCCCCCACCCCCATCCTGGTGTTCCTTGTCTTCTAACCCTCACAGGTAGTTGTACAGGGAAAACGTGCATAAAGCAATAATACAAGGTAGCAACCATAAAATTTCTGAATATTCGAACCTAAGATAGAAAGGAGTTTTACTTTTTGTTCTTCTTTCCCTCTTTCTAAATTTGACTTTTTGAGAACCAAGATATTTGTACTTTACATAACCCTTAACAAATCTGAAATATTTCTCTTTGGGAACATCTAGTATACTATATATAACCTGGCTTGCTCATAGATTTGGGTTAAAAACAGCTTCTTGAGAAGGAAAAAAGAAGCTATTGCATTAAATGTGTGCATGAAAATATGGGTATGATTTTCAGAAACACTCAGATATGAATATATATATACACATACATGTCTTAGAATAGGAAACTCATTGATTAAAATTTTGTTACTTTTACTTTGGGATGTTTAAAACTTGTTACAAAGTGTGAACTCAGGAATATACTGCCTTTTTCGGTGTGGGCAGTTTAAAGCATATACAAACTTTTGAAAAGAGAAGACACTTTTGCCATTGTTGTGAAACGAAATTATAGTATTCTGTGCTTAGACCTTCAGAACATGAAACAAGTAGAAAGTGCTCAGTTTAGGGAGTGAGGAGCAGGGAGAGCAGTGGTGGATCTCAAAAATTCACTGAATGCACTTAGGCCAAATAAAGTTCTAATCGTTATATTTTCTACATATCCCTAATTTTCTACTGTAAGTACTGGATGTCACTAACAGTACTATACAGGCTATCAGTATTTGTGATTTTTTTTTTTCCCCTTCCGAAGCTTAATTGGTATCCTCTTCAGAAACTTTAAGACCTAAGGCCGGTATGGTGGCTCACGCCTAAAATCCCAGCACTTTTGGAGGCTGAGGCAGGTAGATTAACTGAGGGTCAGGAGTCCAAGACCAGCCTTGCCAACATAGTGAAACCCTGTCTCTATGAAAAATACAAAAATTAGCTGGGTGTGGTGGTGCATGCCTGTAATCCTAGCTACTGGGAGGCTGAGTTAGGAGAATCACTTGAACCTGGGAGGCTGAGGTTGCAGTGAGAAGAGATTGTGCCGTTGCACTCTAGCCTGGGCAACAGAGCA